TTTGGCTGCTCAAAGAGATATGTCTGGGTTCTGGGACCCCTCAAGTATAGCAGCAGCTGTGCCTGTAGATGATCCTGCACCTATTCCAAGAAGTGCCTGGCTGGAAGCGGGAAATTCATGTTTCCCGATTACCTGCGCCAAATGTAGGGAGAAGCATTGTCAAGACCCTGCAATTCTTCTCTTTAGGTTTGCCATGGATGCTGTGGGTACAGTTTTCCAAACAACAAAGGATAATGAAACTGAGCTAGGAGAATTTGATCATGTCATAACTCTGCCTATTAGCACTATATATTCATTCCAAAAACTACAGAATGCATGGGTTCTCCAACTTTTATTCTCCTAGGATTTGAAAAATAATCTTCTTAAGCCAAAACTTTTTCTGAGACTGAAAGAAATTTTATTTCCTGGAAACATAACGAACAAGTGGGAACCATAATAGAAGAGTTGTTTTACTCATCACTAAGGGACATATTTTGGAAGAAACAGTATAATTTAAGGAAATCGTGAAAATACTACTACTATATGCCTATTTTTTTAAAGAAAAAATAGCTTAATAGAATTAAAATTGAGAAATTGAGAGAGGAAAAATTAAATCAAAAAGTAAGAGATGAAGAGAGGCTTTAATCCTAGGCAGAGTTAGAAGTTAGACACTGCACGAGAGACACTGGAAAGCCATTCTGCCACAAAAGGTCCCCTCATCTTCGCCGCGTTGCTAAGATTTCGCCATTATAAAATCCTTACTTTATGACTGTTTTGTGGCTCTCAGATCTTTCCTCTTCTCAAAGAAAAATATGTCAGAGTCCCAGTGAAGTTAACTTGTGATTGGTATCAAATACACAATTTGAACCCAGGTCTCCTGACTGCCACCCAGTGCTATTTACCTGATAGTAATCTTTCTTGGAAAGGGATTTTTAATTCAATGCTAACCTTAAAAATATGTATATTTTTGATCATTTTAATGCCCATATTTGTGTCTAGCATTGGTGCAGGTAGCCCAACTTTAATTACCTTAGAGTGAAACGGATAAGAACTTAATGCATCCCAAGTGATGGCCAAATGAAGTAAGGGAGCACTGTGCAAAGGAGTTTCACTGAACTTTGAATAGTGAAAGTGGTGGGCTCATTGTGCAACTGCATACAGTGGTACAGGAGCACTAGTAATGGCCAGCGCCATATTCATAAGGCTAGAGGCGACTAAGTGTTGGCAAAATCACACTAAATTAATGTGGTTAATTTAGACCTTATTGGCTCTATAGATTTGATTAAGTTTAATTTGTAGACTTCTGCATGTTGTTTCACAGTTGTTTCAAACCTTTGAGCAGGCCAGCTCACCTGCTCACAGTGCCTCACGCCTGTAATCTCAGCACTTTTGGAGGCTGAGGCAGAAGGATAGCTTGAGGCTAGGAGTTTGAGACCAGTCTGGGCAACACAGCAAGACCTCATTTCTTTAAAAAATGCTAAAATTAGCTGGGCATGGTGGCACATGCCTATAGTCCTGGCTACTCGGGAGGCTGAGGCAGGAAGGTTGTTTGAACCTAGGAATTGGAGGCAGTGGGTTATGATCATGACACTACACTCCAGCCTGGGCAACAAAGCCTGGCTGCATCTCTTTAAAAGCAAAAACAAAAACCCCATGAGCATATAGGGGTCTAAGAGAATTAATGTTTTAAAGACAAATCATTACTCAAGTTCTCAAGTACTCTGTACTGTGTTAGGGCATTGACTCTCTTGTCTCCCTCCAGTTTGTAATTGGGATAACCAGTGTTGTGTGTGTGGGGGTGTGTGTGTGTGTATTTCTATCAGCTACAAATACAGAGAACCAAATTAAATGTCACAGGACCCAGGACCTTTTGTGCCTAATTCAAAACCAAGGACTATTATACACAGGGAGATGACTCATAGGTAACCAGATAACCACCTTCACATACTGAGTTTGTGTCTGAACCCAAAATTTCCATGTGTTTTTCATTTCTTTTCATTCCTGATCTCTCTTGAATAATTTCCTGGGGAAAATGGATATTTTAAAATATGCCTAATTTCTAGAAGTCCCAATGATTGGGAAAGAATTCATGTTCATTCACTCTGCTTTGTCACTTGGGGACAAAGCTGGGATTTGAATGCAGGATAGCTGAACTCCAGAACCTGTGTCTTTGCTTCATATCCTCAAAGATTCTTCATTGTAATGTGCTGACATAATGACAGTCCCCAGAATGGTTACATTGGAGCAACTGTGTCATTGAGCTCTAAGATGTGACAAATGAAGTTCTAGTTTTGTGACGCTCTACTGGGAAGTTTTTCAGTTTCCTTTCCTCTACTCCCACATCCTTTTGATAAATCCTTGTATCCAGCAGTCACCTGACCATGTCTCTAATCCTTGAAACTGGAGAAAGCTGTGCCAGTTATCTAACGCTGCATAACGGACCACCCCAAAACTTAGTGGTTGAAACAATGATTTATTTTCATGATTCCATGAATTGGCTAGACAGTTATTCTGCTCCATGAAGTACTGGCTGGGATCATTCCTGCATCTGCATTCCACTGGTGGCTGGGCTGGGGTGCCTTGGTTCTCCTCCATGTGGCCTTTCTCTCTAGCAGAATAGTCTAGACTTCCTCAGAGCATGGCAGCTGGATTCCAAAACAGAACATTACGAAAGGACAAACTCTAATGTGCAATATATAAGTTATATTACTTCTGCTTATATCACACTTCCTAGTGGCCACAGTAATTTACGTAGCCAAATCTATGGTCCACATGGGAGGGACGACATAAGGGTGTGAATGCAGGGGGGTGTGATTCATTGGGGACCATCAATGTATCAGTCTGCCATAAAAGCCTGAAAAGAAAATCTAGCTATGTATCAGTTTTCAATTTTTTCCACGTATTTTCAACGAGTGTCTGGTATGCGATTAACATTTTGTTAGGTATGAAGACTGGGAGAATGCTATTAATAAAGAAGGAAGGATACACATATGCAAATCTATACTGTGATCTTGACTGTTACAGAGATGAGAATGGAATGGGCTCAAGAGCATGTCCACTTATTCTTCTCCCTCCGACTTTCAAAACAAATTTCAGTTCATGGCAAGAGACACATGAAATGAACCTGAGGATGGACAGGGAAATGGTGCAAGCATGAAAAATTCAATGTGTTAAAAAACGTTAATGTCAATATGGATCAACAATTCCACACAGGCAGGGCAGGTCTTTACCGAAATTAATGCAAAGCCTTTTTTAAAATCTAATTTTTAAAAGTGAAACCACAGCTCTTTAAGCCCAATTTTTGTACAATAAAAAAATTCTTCCACATACTTGCTGTATCAGTCCCCTATTCAAGGGCCTTGGTCCTCAGGCGTGAAGCTCAGAAGTTTCATATCTAACACCAAGAGAAGAAGGCACAATCATGGTGAGAGGATAAATATCAAGGTGGGTTTCACAGGGTCAGATTTAAGCTAGAATTTGGAGAAATATGTAAAATTTGGCATGGTATATAAAAAAAAATCACAAGTGTGGAAAAGAATATGATTATAACTTCTCTTGAACTTTCCTGAGGGAATAGACTAAAGCCATGTGTAAATAGATGATTTGATTGGGGTCATTTTGATTGCTTGGCAATACAATTCCTTTCTTTTTATATTTAATCAGAATGTTTGAACACCTATTTATTAACTGACCCCGTGGTTAAGACAACCACAGCGACTGGGCTACAGTGTAAATACTAGTTATTTCAGTTCTCTTGATTGGATCAGATGGTCCTTTTACCCATATAATCAATACATTATGTGATCTGTAAATGGTTGCTCCAAATTTCTAAAGGTGATATTACTCTATTCAATAGTGTTCTCCCCACACAGAAGTAAGTACAGGTAAGGTGAAAACTTCTTTTAATGACATTAATACCGATGAAAACTTAAGAGGCACAGGCCAACTGCAAGACGTAGATGACTTTCAGTGCTCCTTACCAATTAAAAAATTGAATCATTTTTGGTGTCATCCACGTGGTGGTTATAAATAGACATGAGACTGGGGAGTGGTTTTTTAAATATGAAGCCATAATCCTGGAGTTTTCTGCCACCTGAATCTCATCATAAATCCACCTAGACCAGGATTTAAATGATGCTTGCATTAACCATAGTCAAAACCGGTGATCAAATGCGTTTCTACCCCAGACACACATAACAAAGAAATGTTGAGCCTTCCTCTCCATCCGGACCTAAATATTTCCTGGAAGTTTTAAACTAGACGCTCAGAGTCTACCCCTTTATGCAGCAATTTCATAAGGACTAATAATTTACGCAAATATGAGGCAGAGACGTCCAGCTCTTCTGGGAGCTTTCCACCGTGTCGGTGCTAGTTGTGTGTGGTTGTGTGTGTGTGTGTGTGTGTGTGTGTGTGTGTGTGTGTGCAGCGCGCGCGCAAAACACGGTGTTTTCTTAAAGGAGCTGAATCGACGCCAAGAGGTCACCTCCCCTGACGAGCTCGCTGTATTGTGATTATGCCTCCCCTGGGGCGGTGGAGGCTCTGCTGTACGCCCTTCCGCAGCTGGACATCACTTATACTGAGGTTTTCAAAGTAAACGAACAACTTAGCACTTTCGCCGAGTCCAAAATCTGCCAGCGAACTTGGGTGCTGGAGAGTTCGGCGGGAAGGAAAGGTGACTGAGAGGAGCACTGCATTTTTCTGGCACTTTCCACAGAGGATACTCTAATAAATGGGAGGGGGGTGGGAGGAGGGAAAGAGAGAAACACCCTCCTTTTCTTTCTGAAACTGCACCTCAGCCTGAGATTTGAGTATTATTTTACCTGTATTTATAATAAACCAACACCGCACTCCCTGCACCAACCACCCAACTGCCTCGACTTCCATTAAAAGCAGCTACTAAGACTAAAGAAAGAGGGAAAGACTAGCGGGGGGAGCAAATAAATAAATAAAAGAGAGCGCGAGGGGGGAAGGAGAGCGCAGGGAGAGAGGGAGCGCCTGGGACTCGAGACGGCGGCAGGTTCAATTAGCTAAACAAAGAAATCATGGCGGATTGTTTACATTTGGCAGCGCCCGGGCTGCGCCGACCGCCGGCCCCGAGCCGCCGCAGGCCCCGAGGAGTCGGCCGAGCTGCCCCCGCGCCCTGGCCGGGTAAGTGACGCCGGCCGCGGGCCCGGGGCGCGGCCGCCGCGCGCGCCGCCCCCGCCGCC